CTCTCTCTCTCTCTCTCCCTCCCTCCCTCTCTATCCCTCTCTCTCTCTCTCTCTCCCTCTCCTTCTCCCTCGCATTTTTTCTTCTGCTTATTGACTCCTTGGTACCGTAGTACTTTTGAGTTTTTTCTTTTGACTTGAGAAAGGGGACTTCAGAAAGATATTTGTATCTCTTTCAGTACAACCTTCTTCCACTTTGTCATAATGTTTTTGTTTTTGCTGTTTTGTGCATAAATTATGTTGCACTTTCAAAAACAGGGGAAGTGGTTCTGGTTGACATAGAAGACAGCAGTCCTGTGCACAAGTTGAATGTGAATGCTGAAGTGACAGCGCTGAACTGGGCTCTCCATGTTCCTGAAGAGACAGCTCAGAAGAAAACAGTCTTTGAGGTTGGTCTGCTTAAATGACGGCTTTCTTTTTTTTCAATGGAAGTACATATTTATAAGATGGTAAAGGATGTTTTCCATAATTTTACTATTAAGTCTTTTCTGTTTTCTCCCAAAGGATACGTCAGAAACTTTCCTGCCACCTCTGCCGTCTCTTTCAAAGACCTATTCAGTGACAAATGGGGGAGAACGTGAAGAGGGGCGCCAAGAGGGACGTCTTCTACATGATCAGAATGCTCTGACATTACTTACAGTTGCCACCGCAGCAGGATCTGTGTATATGTATGCCTTTGGTCTGTTTCATTGTGCAACTGTAGACCTTGGAGAGACAATTCCAGGAGCTGGACAGGTCTTAGATGCAACGCCTTCGCATGATTTACACCTTTTGAGCTGTCTGCTGGAACGTACAGTGCAGGGAGAACGAGAAGTTGTTCATGTTACTGTTGAAACCATGATTTTAGCTTGTCGACATCAGGAATTACATGCCCTTGCTTATCGGTTTGGCCAGATATATGGACTTATGACATATGCATCACATACTCTCACCCTTCTGGCCGAAGCTTGGGAAAGTATATTATTAGAATTAGATGCAAAGCTCGCAACATATGCAAGCACTGTATCAGAAGGAGGTGTGTCAGCTGACTTTTTAGATCTGTTGGTATTCGGGTTTTCATCTCCAGAATTCGATATGTTCCTTTCAAACCAACTCACAGAAAAAGGACTTAAGAAACTGGGCCATTCCATAGAGCTGAGTTATTCAAACATCCAAAAGCTAGTTTTGCATAATGTGCAAGCTGTAGGCCAGGCACTTGTGTACCAGCTAAGTGCACTTGTCGGGTTAGCACGTCACCATGACCGTTTTGGAATGTTAGGAGTCGAGGAAAGTGTTGTCACAAATGCAGTAAGGGAAGCAGGTGCATTTGTTCTAAAGGCTGTAGAACTACAGCAAGTCATTGATGGAGCCATGAGCACATTCAAAGCCTTCCTCAGGTGGCTCTATGTAGTTGTCCAACGAGTCAGAGGGGAAGCAGTGCCAGACGAAATGAGCAGGATGACACAACAGGATTTAACATACATCACAGAGTTTCTTCATGATAGTCTGGAGGATACAGCAACTGGGCCAGATGGAGAAAAACGAACTAGGTTTCGACTTGAACGTGTTGGACAGTACCTGAAGGATGAACCACTCTCATGTCCCCCGGAATCTAATAGTAATCCCTGGGAGATTTTCCTAGCTGAGCATCCTGCTGTGGCAGAGCACTCTTTGATCTTCCCTCACCATCATGAAAGATCTCTTCTCCAAGAACATAAAAGTCTTGCACGTGTTTTAGATAACATGGCTGGACATCCAGCACAGGTTATTAGTGGGGCAGTAAACATTGTATCTTGGGTACCAATTATAGCTGTAGCTCCCACGGGACCAGTAACTGTTAGTCAGATAAGTTGTCCCCGGGATAATGCCATGTATACTGTCCTATTACCTGGCTCCAAACAAAATGTCTTGTACCTAGCTCGATGGTCCACAAGTGCTGATCGATTAGCCCAAGCTGGAGATGCACCAGGCCCTGCACATCATGTAGAGGCTGCTCCTTTTGTGTTTTCACGTCTTGAGGGACCTCGAGGGTGCTCTATGGAGCAGCCTAGCACACCTACACCTTTATTGCAACTGATTGGAGCACAGTTTTACACTGAGGAAACATTGTCAGTTTTGGCACAAGATCCTTCAGATCCAAGGTCTTCCTTCTTCATACAGTTATGGATGGTAGCAGCCTGTGCAGAACTGAGACCCCTTGCTGTGTACGGTGAACAACTCCTGGCAGATGTTGGTATCACTCCAAGAGATGCTGGCACCTTAGTTGATGCTAGTGGTTACCGTCGTCTGGAAGGTGGACCCCTCTCGGCGTTAGCTGTTTCTGGATCCCGAAAACTTGCTCTTTTACTCTCTGAGAATAGAAGACGAGTAAGGCTGTTTGAGATGGAAGTAGATGAGGATGACGAAGATGAAGATGAGGAAGATACTGCCCAACACGAATCTATCATGAATGCCTCAGGTGCTTCAGATGACCCTGTGGACGGTATGTAATTGTGGAATAGATGACAATAAACATTTATATGGACTTTCATTTTCTTATTGATCACAAACTTTGGAAAATATATGAAGGATATAGTATTCAAAGTAAATTGGTATTCAGGACTTTTTAAGAATATGGAATATTGATATTTACATTAGCTGCATTGCATTTACATAGAACAATGATGTGGTTTTCCTTCAGAAATCTCGGAAAACTGAACACAGTATACTCATATTCATAGTGACATACATCGAAAAGGGTCTATGAGTCTTTCACTCAGAAAGAATCCTTCCTTGCTGTACTTGACATCCAGACCCCTCTAATACCTTGCCCGTTGTTGTGGGGGGGCTTAGGAGGCAAAGACTGGGGCCCAATGCTGGGAAACTCCCCTGTCTTGGGACTCAGCCCTCGACTTAACTAATTTTACATTTTTTTTTTCTCTCTCCTGCTTTTTTGTATCCGTCCCTTCCCCAACCCCTTCTACTATCCATTTCCTATGGTGTGAGAGCCGTGCCGAAAGGATGAAAGGCTTACTTTGTGCCAGTCCTGAACGGCCTGAGGGAGCCATGGGCATGGTATTTCCCTGTTTTAGTTGTCTAGCCCTTACCCCTCAAGGGGACCCTGAAGGTGAACTGTTTCTCTCCCCAACATACTCCAGGCTCACCATGGCCAATAATGTTGTTTATCATTATTAGGGGGCAATGAGGCTTGCCTATTTGTCAAATAGCCCCGCCAATTCAAACTCTTCCGATTCCCCGAACCCAGGCTCTCTTTTGACCGCGGTTCCGAACACTAACTACTAGCCCCTATTCAATACCTACTAGTACGTTATCCACCTAAGTCAACACTCAATCTCCAGGAGACATTTCTACTCTCCCAACATGCTCAACTTCACCTCTACCCCCACAACCTTTATCAACTCCCTTATTACTACTTTACAGCCTCTCCATAATACTACCTCATCACTACTCCGTCCACACGCCCCCATTCTTCTACTACCCCCATCTCTGTAAAAAATTTAGATACTGTATTTATCCCAGCCAAATGGGATTGATTTTTCGTGATCCCCCCACAGCTCCCTACCCTGACAACACTGTCTCCAAAAACAAGAAGGCAGTGTCTCTATGTAGCCGACCTGGTCGTTCCCGTCTCGTCACAGTAACATTAGCATTATTATCTCTAGCTGATCTCTCTGGTAATCTCATTCCTGCAGAACCTCATCCAACCCTCAATACTTGCACCGGAACTGTCTCTATCTCCTCAGCAAACTACCTTATCTATAACAAAAATTGGTCAGATTGTGGAGAAAACTTACTTGTCTTACTCACGGACTATGATGTGATATCAGTACAGTGCTACTCTATTCCTCCCAGAGGTCATCAGAAGAACCCCATTGACATTGCCAAAATTACTTTCCATAGACATGACCTTCCCTTTAATGTTTACATTGATGGAGAATTCCTCCCTGTCCGACCACATCAACCTCCGTTCCACAACCAGATGCCCTCTATGTGCCCAACCAGGTCATACTCGATCAAACTGCTCTGTACAGTCACGCACACGTGCCAACTTTAGCGGCCCCTATAATGTATTTTATTAGGGCTGCCCCACCTACAAATTTGAGTCTGAGGTGGCAACTCTCAGATTCAGACTTGGACTCAAACTACATGATGCCAGACAGGAAGCATTGCTCTAACTACCTGCTTATGCAAACTACTAGAGTGAATGGTTAACAATTGTTCTCCCTAGGCATATGCGGAAGCATGGGAGTCTTTATAAAGTCTTTCCTCACCAAACGCACTTTCCAGGTCAAAATTGCCTCTTCCACATCATCCTTTCCTCAGTTCCAAAGCACTCTCACAAGGCAGCAAGCTCAGTATCACTTAACTCCTTGCCACTAATGACATTGTCTCAGTTTTATCACCAGGAGGCTGATCATCACTATATGTTGATGATTTAACCATTATTCCTTCATCATTCCATCATTCCTTCATATTATCAGCATCTTCCTGGCCACTAACCATGGCTTTCGCTTTTCTACCACTAAGTCTTTCTCCATCCTTTTCTCTTATGTGCGTGTAGGTCCCCGACCTCCACTCTTACAAGGCACTTCACTCCAATACCATTCCTCTGGCAAATTCATTGGTATTTTTGACTCCAAATTGTTCCAGCAAGACCGTATCTATAGATATGGCCTTGTCGTCACCTGCAAATCTTACAAACTCCCATATATCCTGGGGCTCAGATAACAAAGCTCTCCTCCATTTTTATGTCACATTGAACCTCTCCAGTCTCAATTATGGATGCCATATCTACTCTGCTTCAACCTACCTCCTTGCTCATCTTGATGCAATCCACCACTGCGGTCTTCGCTTAGCCCTCTCCAGTCGAGAGCCTGTACACCGAGTCAGGCAAGCCATCTCTCTCTCGATGTCATACCCTTCTGTCTCCCCGATACTATTCTCGATTCCACCAACTCTTCCTCACCAGACTAACTATCCCATGATCCCTGCTTCCTACTTTTGCTTATTCTCCACATCTAACCTACGCCTTTCTCCATTCGCATGGATACCCTCCTCTCCCAGTCCCCTTTCCCCCTCTACGACCTCTTCCGTTTTCTGTCCATTCCGTTCCTTCATGGCTTATACCTTACCCCCTGTATTTGCTCCTCTGTTTCCCCTGAACTACCACAATCAGATATCATCCCTTCTCTCATCACCCATTTCCTTGACCATGTCTCCATTCACTTCTCCAGTATTCATGTGTACACTGATGGCTCCAAATCCCATTCCGGTGCTGGTTTCTCAGTAACCTTCCCAACTCTCACTTCCCTCCTGAATCCAGTGTCCTTACTACAGAACTGTATGCACTCCTTTTTTTCTTATTTATTAAGAATTATTATTGTTACCCCCACTTTTAATCCTTCCTGTATACTCGATGACAATCTTTCTGGTCAAGTCTCCGCACTATTAATTACATACTGTTGAACTATCAATCTCCTGGTCAGCTCCATTCCATCGGAATAGACGTTGGGAGACGGCTTTCGCCCGCCTGATGTCATGTTCTGTTCCACCCCTATGTCCCCTATGGAATTTCCCTCTTTCAGTTCCGCACATTCTGTTGTCCTGTCCACGCTTTGATGCAGCTCGTACCTCTGCTTTACCCCCACGTATCCGCCCTTCACCGACCTCCCAACCTATCAGACATCCTTACAGAATCTTACACTTTTTGTTTTGACAACCTGTTTTCCTTCCTCAGACGCATAAATATTCTTCACTTGATCTAACCCCCCTTACCTAACCCTACCTTAACCCAAACTCATCAACTTTTTTACTGTACCTTCCTATAGACCTTATATGTGTAGCACATTTATTTTGCTTTTAACCATTTACTAACAACAGCATATCTACATATACATCCATATAATACACGTTTTATATATTTTGTATCTTTACCTCCGCGTATGAATTTTTAAATACGTATTTTAACATTTTATTTATAACTGCCATGTCGACAGTTAGGAAATCGCGACTCTTCTCGTGATCGATCCCTTACGTCCTTTAAGAAAGTGTTTGTATTCTGTTTTTTATGCGTGTACTTGTAAACTAAGCCGAATCTCAGCACATGACGTGATGGGTTTGCATGCCGCACGTACTTGTTAGTGTCCCAGACAAATCCACGTTCTACAAATGACAAAACCAACCAGACATTGTTATTTGCAGCTACAGTCTTCTAAATAACATCCTCTTACCTGGCAATCATGTGTGATACTTACGAAGGCCAGATAAACTCAACATAAATGTATTTGAATATATTAAAATAAAATAAATAAATATCTCGTACTGGACTAAAACGGTGGTCTCTTGATGCTGTGTCAATTTCATAGCTCTTGATAACAGAGATGGGCTCCCCTCTGGTGCTGCAACAGATTCACAGATTGATGTGGAATGAACTAGATCTACTATTGATTTCATGCAGTTTGTTAATGCAAAATATATTTTGATCCCCGTGGTAGTTGCGAAAGTTTCCGGTATCATTGTTTTAATTGCAAGCTAAAAGCACAGCAATGAACATTAATAGTGTCAAAGAATTAAGATAGACTTGGTTTATCAGCTCCTAGAATTCAAGCATAAGCTCCACCGCCCCCGACTCTATGAGAGCATATCCTGGTTATGAAATCGTATCCCTTCTACAAACAGACAGACTAGAATCCGAAATTCCTAGTGCCTATTAGGGTCATACCAGACAAAATGGTTCCACTAATAGGTCGTTCCCATTATACATCACAATAATATATAGTCGTTTAGTATCATTTAAATCCTTTGGAAATCCTCACCAGTGAAAACAAAAACACACACTTTATATGTTTCTGTTACAATGTCAGGTTAGATATAGCTCGCAATGAAAGCTTATAATTATCTTTGTTAAGTGCTGAGAAATATAGGACAAAGAGGTCTTTCACACTCATTTACGTCCTCAATATTGAATTATGGAGAAAACAGCTCACAACTAGCTAGAAGCTTGCCGTAACACATTAAACCGTATCAAAGATAGATATCGACCCACTCTTCTTCGCTATAGTCAAACTGAGTGTCAAGTTAAGTAAACCACAAGCTGATGTTAGATTTTCAGTAAAAAAGAAAAAAAGAATCCTTCCTTCTAGTCACCTATTTACTTTATGTATGCTGTTTTTAGAAAGGCACAGGTTAAAAGAAATATTTCATCAATGACTGTATTATCAGAAAATTATAACAAAAAATAATAGACACTTATACGGGCGGTTTGTTTAACTTACGAGGGACCCAACCCGATGAATAATGCATGCGTATGAACATATATATGCACAAATAAACGCATGCACACGCACGGACGCACGCACGCACGCACGCACCCACACACACACACACACACAAAAAAAAAAACATGCGTGTGTGTGTGTGTTTATGTATATATATGTATATATATACATATATATATATATATATATATATATATATATATATATATATATATATACATATACATATATATACATATACATATAT